GGAGAACTCCGGGAAGCAACATTTTACTCTCTGCTAACAAAATTCTGAAGTTCAGTCAGCATGGCTAATATCAAAACCTGTCACTAAACACGATCTCCGATTTCGTTGTCAGTTCGAATCCCCACATTTGGTGCGTGGAGTGGCATATTTCAAGGGACTACACGACATTCGATCGGAAAGACAAAGAAAAATCTCGAGGCCTGATACAAAACAGGAGGATCGGATAGGCTCGAGCCAATACTGACACAGAAAATACAAGATTAGACAGGAGATACACCAGTATCAAAATACCGATATATCTTACCCGTCCCTACTTCCAAATCCTAAGAAGAGAACGAAAAAAAATGCAGCTTCCTGATGCGAGCCCCTTGTTAAATTGACAGCGTACCCCTGACGAATTATTTCACATTCCCAAATTTATAACTTGAAATTATCGACAATTTTAAATATAATTTCTCATATTCCTGGACCTAAACAAAATGCTAGAATTGCAAGTTCTGATAATGACGTTTTGGACTTGATGACTCGCTGTACATATTATTTTTATCAGTTCCACTCAACAAACTTTCTCCAGAAGGACGCTACGGGGACGAGGATATTTCAAACACTGATGGGCTTGTTATTGCTTCTGGGCGTGACCAAATCATGATATCTCAGTCTCAACGAAATTTGGGAGAAAGTTGGATCGGATATAGATTTTATTTGGATTGCTCTGTCCCAGGAAAGGTTTCACTTATGCTTCATGCTTTACGTTTTGACAGTATCATGGACAGACAGCAATTAAGTGACGTTGATAATTTAGCTCTTGTCGATGTATGTTTGAGATTCCGCATGGGTATGTCAAACACCCAAGCAAAGCACGGGTTTAAAATCCAAGCCCTTACGGATGCAAGAAACATCTTCGCTTCATATTCATGCCTGTAAAGTGCCGCTAGGGGCAGCAGTGTTTCAAACAGCGTCTGTGATGCGTCGTGTGTCCACAATGGTTGATGCATGTAGAAATGTGACTTATAATTGGTGTTTTAGCACATGACTAGCAACAGACTTGACAACAAAAATAAAAATGAATTGCACACTACGAGGTAACAAGTTAGAGATAATTACACGATCTGTAAATACTAGAAACAGAGAAGTAGCAATCTCTTTATATTTGAAGAGGTCTTGACACTTATGTCCTACATCCTGGAAAACAGGGGTTGTATTGATATCTACGATGCAATTTGGAGAAAAGTCTAATTCAGGCTGACAAAAGAAAGATTGAAATAATAATAATAGTATATGATAATTTTGAAGGTGGAATTGACAAAGTGGATGAAACGGTAGAAAATAGTGTTTCAAGGAAGTGGAAGAGATGGCCACTTTGAATACTTTTCAACTTACAGATATTGTTTATCTCAATGCTTATGTAATATTTCTATCAAACAATCTTAATGAAGAGTGAGAAATGAGGGTGCTTTTGTTTACCATCCAAGCGATTACCAATGTCACTGTTTCAAAGTCTGCCTCCTCCATCCAACACCGTTCTTCATTCTCATCCACATGTCTTATTAACAAGGACAGTACTCACCTGCCAAGTTCCAAACCCAATGACAGGCATGCTGGCTCCAGCGCTCAGCTTCAGAAGTGACGTCATTGCGCAGCTTGCTCAGATACAACACGCTCTTCTCTCGCGGATAATACGAAGACTCCTTCCACAATTGTTCTCGCCACACCGTTATATACCGCTGCCAAAGACATCCCACTGTCATAGAGAGAGAGAGAGAGAGAGAGATAGCTGACATGCATTCGCGACATCTTTCATTGAGAAGTGGAGTTACTTGAACGAAGAACACCGAAATCATAAAAGATGGTACTAGTTGCGTGTCACCAAATGCAGCTCTTGTGGGAGCCACGAGGCAACAACGTAAACAGTGGACTTACTGTACTTGAAAGGCGGTACATCACAACTCCTCTTACTGGTTTAAAAATGTAATTATTCTATTGGAATTGGTTTTTCTACGATGCCTACGCAACCACCTTTCAAAAAAACAAAAAACAGGTAACCTTGCTGAGATTGTTATGATCGCTTGCTGTAGATGGCGTCACAACACGGCCGACCAATATAACATAAGTTCATATTTCACTCACCAGATGTGAGACCGAAAATGTAGGGAGCAGATATTGTTATCTGTGTACTGGAGTTAGAGGTGTTTAATAATGTAAAGTTAATCAGGGCAAACTTCTAAAGGAGGATACCATTTGATG